TTTATTTCTCCCACATATGTTTCCACCATTATCTCGACATTTATCATTTTCTGTAGTTTCAACACCTACATTAATGATCTACCTGTGGCAGATTGATTTTAAAAATGGACCCAATTGTCCACCTTTCTCTGTATCTATGTCCTTTACAATGTGATTTTCCAGCACCTCCTATCAAGAAGTGAAGTCTCTCTTCACACCCCTTTAATCCAGGGAGGCCTTATGACCTACATTACAGCAGAACTGGCAGTGCATGATTCCAAATCTGGGCCTCATGAGGCCTCTACACTTCCTCTTTCTCCCAGCTACCATATGAAGAAGCTTAGGTTAGCCTGCTGGAGACCACATGCAGCAGAGCAAGCCCTTCTCGATGAGGCCAGCCTAGACCAGCCAGCCCCCAGCGGATTTAGCAGCTAACCACAGACTCTTGAGCAAGCCCAGCTGAGAAGGGCTGAGGCTGGCCCACGTCAACAGATGCATCCAATCAACCCACAGATACTTGAGCAATAATAACTGACGCTGTGTTGTCACTACATTTCTGTGCAGTTTGTCACGCAGCAAAAACTACCTAGCACATTTTAAAAGGAAAAGATGAGGGAAAAATATTTGACAATGGGTTGCAGTAGCAGGAGAGCAAGAGGGTGGACAATATAGTAGAATGAATAAATATTCTAATAGATGCCTGTGAAAGCAGGAGTAGAAAAGAGCACTGGATTAAATTCTATTGCTGACCTCATACAGAAACCCTTTTCACCTAGAACACACATTGCAACACCCTGCTCAGATATAAAGACATTGTATTCTATTGGCAACATTTCCTATCAATAGGTTTCAGTATCAGTAACAGCAACCAAATCAGAATAGCACTTTGTAAAGTAATAACTTATATTCATAAAATTGTCTAATTTATAAATGTTTTCATATACAATATGTATGTGTATATCAGGTACAGATACAGATAGATATAAATATTACATAAGGTGATGACTTGGTCACAGGGTACAGGTGGAGAAATGTAAGTTCCATTGACTTTCAGATCGTCAAAGCATGGCTTCCTGAAGGCATACGGGTCATCGCAGGAGTGACCCACACCAGCACTAATAGGCTATACTGACCCCACCTCATCCTCAGTTGACAGTCAATAGGGATCTATCCTTACTCAGCAACACAGAATATCGGTAAAGTATTTCTCTCTGTGGCTTCAGAAGTAGAAGTTCAGTTGGAGGTAACAAGGAAACAGATTTCTACCTAACAAGAAAAGATAAGATCTTTCTTTTCTTTTTTTTTTTTAAAGATTGGCACCTGAGCTAACATCTGTTGCAAATCTTTTTCTTCTTCTTCTTCTTCCTCTTCCTCTTCATCTTCCCTTTCTTCCTCTTCCTCTTCTTCTTCTCCCCAAATCCCCCTAGAACGTAGTTGTAGGTCCCTCTGGTTATGCTAATGTGGGATCACTGATGAGCCGTGCCATGTCCATGCCCAGGATCCTAACTGGCAAAACCCTGGGCCGCTGAAGTGGAGCACGCGAACGTAACCACTTGGCCACAGGGCCAGCCCCAAAGATGAGCTTTTTAATTAAGCATATCTAAAGATAAAATAGGCTGCTTTAAGAAAATGGTCTTCCCAACACTGGAAATGTTCATGGAAGAACAGCACAATGTGTTTCAGAAGGACTTCCTAAACTTGGGGTGGGAAGGCTTGATTAATATCTAAGCTTCCTTCCATTGTCAGTATTCTTTGATATATTTTCACAGACGAGATATATATGGCATTTAATATTTATTTCCAGTATTGTGAGTTTCTAATGACATCTTGTTTTCCTATATTCTGAGAAGTTACTACAAAGCCTTTTGTGATGCAAGAAACTGAGTTACGGGGGTGGATGAGCAGGAGGAGAAGAAAATCAAAGATTCAAGGAGTTGAATTCACAGGCATTACATTATCACCCAACTGGCACCCACTGCTAATCACGCAAAAACCATTCTTCCAAACAGATAAAACAGGCATCCCTAGTAACAGTAGAAGTGGTAGTAAAAGTAATGACATACTATGAAGTGACACACATCACTCTCACAGAATGTTCCAAAGCACTTTCCCAGCATACTGGTCCTGCAGAATCTTAGTAGCTTTTGTGGCCCATATGATTCTAGGTTAGAACAAGCTAAACAAGTTACTTTATTGCAGCATTTCTCTGACTTCCATTATTTATGGAAGGTGTAAATTTCCTTTTTTTTTTTGGTTATTTTTCATTGATATATAACTGACATATACATTATATTAGTCTCTTATACATACATATGCAACATAATGATGCGATGTATGTATATATTGTGAAATGATTACCACAATAAGCCTAGTTATTTCATTCTAGCTTAGTGAGAAAGTAAATACAGTATTCCTAAAATAATTTGATCATGGAAACTTTTTTGTACGAGATGCCTTATAAAACTAATGTTCCAAAGTTTACACTTTAGAAAAAACGCATTAATATACTTCTCTGTCAATATTTTCTGATCAATATATTTCAATCTTATTAACTGATCAAATTGGAGTAGCATCCATGATAGTCATAACTGCAAAAATTGCAGAATATTCTCAATTCTACTTGACCTCCAATATAACATTACCTGCTCCATTCCTCGTGCAATGCTTATATCTGCATCCAGTTTACAGTTCTTTATACCTGCTCCCGTGTTGACAATAAAGAACAAAGTAGACAACGATGCTTACTTTTGCTTTTCAGTTTGGAATTCCTCCTCCTGAGCTTTGCACAAGTCCTCTTTAAGGCTGATGACTTGGCCACAGGATAAAGGTGGAGAAATGTAAGTTTCATCAATTTGCAGATCATCAAAGCATGGCTTCCTGAAGGCAGACGAATCATCGCAGCAATGACCCACACCAGCGTTGATAGGCTTGGCCTCATGTCTTCTGCATAAAGCTCCAAGAATTAGCTTTACCTTTTCGGAAAAGAATCAAAATAAGAGCCATAAGGTTTGTGGTTGTTTTTTTTCTCTTTTTTTTTACCCATAAGAAAGAAGATTATTTTTGTATTCCCAAATTCTAGTTTCTGCAAGTTCAGCCTGGATTTCACTGTTTGGGAAAAAGCAAGAGCATCAAGTACAGCCTGATTCCCAGCCTTGTCCTTCCCTTCCTGTCATCCTCAAGCTGAGTTCACTTGGGCCCCACCTTTAGGTTCCTCCCCAGTCCAATCTATAGACCAGTGTTGACCTGAGGCAGGAGTTTCTTATGCTCCATCAAGTTAAAATCAAGTCAACAGTCTGGCTAATTTGACTCAGATATAAGACTGATCACTGGCATTCTTACTTAAGAAGCTCAAATCCAGTTTACTTCTATGTTTTGTAACTGGACATCTGTAACCACCACAAAACTTGGCACACAGGAGATGCTCTATGAATATTTGTTGAATGAATGAAAAAATGAATAAATGAATGATGAAAGAAATCCTTGGATCCTATTTCAGTTATCTATTTCATTTACTTGTCCTGTCCTAGAATTGTCACGTTAACTCACTTCCAGTGTGGTGTCTGATACTTATGCTGGTGCTGTCTGCAAGCCTGCCTATATGCTGCTCTGAGGGTAATGGCCTCCTAAATTCCCTGTCACTTATGCATAAGGGGACGAAGTTATTGAAACCAGTAATCATCAACATTTACTGTATGCATTTATCCATTTTAGAAGTAACCAAAGAAATCACCTTTTTAAAAATAAGACTTTAGGAGTATGTGTCTGCTTGAAAGAGTTCTACAAAGAGGGCATAACTAGAGAAGAAAAATTGACAATAAAATAAAAGGAAGTTAGGGCTATCTAATGAAAATGTTTAAATCTGCAATCAAAACAATTGAATTTTATCAGAAGACCAACTTAGCACAAAGGAGGCACTTTACCAAGGGCACAGGGAGAGAAAGCTGTCACCAAACAAGAATTCAGTAGCGTTAAAATAATACCACTTAAGAGAGACCTAGAGATTAGGTCTTGGAGGGATGTTCTGCATTGTGAGAAAGGAATAACTTATCATACGTCACCATAGCCTGGAAGAAATTTCCCTCAGGACCGTTCCTATCCTTCCTCTCATTCCATTTGTACTAATACCCATATCCATATTCAACTTCCAAAGTATTTTGACTTAGGAAAAAGTATAGCTTAGTTATTAGACCCAATTACTCCTCCCTTTGGAAAGACATTGCTCATTGTAATGAATACACTGGCATTCCATCTAATAAATTTACGACTTGTGAGTTTGTTTAGGATAAGTCTGAATGAGCATTATCTTGGAATTTGCTGACAAAAATCACCTTTTTTTTTTTTTTTTTGGTGAGGAAGATTGCCCCTGAGCTAACATCCATTGCCAATCTTCCGCTATTTTGTATGTGGGATGCTCCTACAGCATGGCTTGATGAGTGGTACATAGGCCTGCACCCAGGATGTGAACCTGTGAACCCCAGGCTGCCAAAGCAGAGAGTACAAACTTAACCACTATGCCACTAGGCTGGCCCCAAAATCACTTTTGTTGACTTGAAAACCCAACGAAAGGCCAGCCCCAGCAGCCTAGTGGTTAAGTTCAGCATGTTCTACTTTGGTGGCTTGGGTTCAGTTCCCGGGCAGGGACCTATACCACTCCTAGGTGGCCATGCTGTGGTGGCAGCTCATATAGAGAAAGAAGAAGATTGGCACAGATGTTAGCTCAGAGTGAATCTTCCTCAAAATAAAAAGAAAAAACAAAAACCCAAGGAATCGACCCTGGGGTATGATCCAGGCAAAGGCCTGGTGAATCTGACATCCCCAGATTCAGAGATGTGACAGTCTTACTGCTGCTGCTAATCAAAGACAATGGCATGAGCTGAGCTGAAAGGATTTCTCCTGAGGACACAATTATTAGGCTCCGTTGACAGTTCATGAATGTGTCCACCAACATGAGACTGATTGCAAGGGTTAGAGATTAGAACTTCAAGGACAGGCAAACATGAAGTCACAGATGTACTTACCGAGTCCTCCATGCAGATGAACTGTTGCTCATCACTCAGTGGGCAACATTTGGTCGCAGCAGCTGCCATGTTCTTCGTGAACATAACCAACTCTTGAGCAGATAGTTGTGGGGCTTTCTTAGTGTACAGGACTATGAGGCTGAAAGAATAATATCCTCTTACGCCTGGCAATGGCTATGTGCCCAAAATAAAGAATTCTATAGAGTTTTCCTCAATATCAGACATCGTCTCTAATTTAGGGTGAACAAGGCATTAAATTGGGTTTAATTCTATCTTTTTAGTCCTTGTTTCAATGGCCCAATGCCTTATTTAGTAGACTTGGAATTCTCTTCCCACCTCATACATTGCTCCACTCTGATCCATCTGTTTTCTACTTATCAAGGATACTATGTTAGCTAGTTTGGATGGCTACAAAATCAGACAGAGTAAACAACTATTGAAATAAATATATGCGCAGGCCATTAAAGTTTTTATTGGTTGTCTGCAATGTGTTGGAATAGGGGCTGCAGAATGATCAGCAAACAGCCTCTACTCCCTTGGGGCTCACACTCGAGTGGGAGGGGGATAGACAAGTACACTCAGTGCAGTGAAAGGAGCACAGAGTGCAGCAGGTGCACACAGAATGGCCTCTAATCCCACCCCAGGGAGTCAGGCAGACCTCCTAGGGGAAATCTCAGCTCATGTGAGCTGAGATCTGACAATAACTAAAAAGGAGCCAATGAGGGGGAGTGGAAGTGGGAAGGGAGCATTTGGGAAGTTATTGGATATGATTTTGCTTTCTTGACTGGGGGGATTGGGGATTGGAGGAGGGGAAGGAGGAAAGCTTAGTTACAGAATCAGATTTCTGTTGTTTTTAAGATAATTATGGTTGCTGTATAAACAATGGATTGGAGGTTGGCAGAAAGCAAAGCGAGGGAAGAAACAGTTTGAAGCGCCATTCCAGTCATCCAAGTGAGAGACAGTGATGGCCTGAACTAGAAGAGTGGTGGTGGGAACTGAGGGATATGGAGATTTTAAGGCAAAAGATTCTGCAGAACTGGATTTGAGGATAACAAAAAATCAGAGTCAATTATTGCATTTATATTTTAATGGAGTTAGGGGAAGAATTTAGCTGTAACATCCAATCAAACAGTCAACCTAATTCAGTGGTTCTCCAAGTGCAACCCCCAGACCAGCAGCATCAGCATTCCTGGGGACTTGTTAGAAATGCAGATTCTCAGGCCACATCCCAGATTTACTGAATCAGAAAACCTAGTGATGGGTTATGTTCTAACAAGTCCTCCATGTAATTTCGATGCACTCAAGTTTGAGAACCACAGATGGAATCCTTAAACTAGACATTAGCAACTGAACACAACATAAAAGAAAAGTAATAAGCCAAATATTCTCTCTGGAACAAAAATAATTTTTCGGATCCATTATTCCGGACATTTAATTTAAGCTGAATATTATGGGACACTAGATCAAAACTGAACTTATCCTCAATACTCTGCTCCTAAATAGACTATTATAGTAAGATGTTAAAGATAAGTAAAAATTGGCTTTTGTTTTTGGGCATATTAATCTTTGAAATACAATAGGATTTACCAGGCTGTCTGCACACAAGGAGTTGTGTGTGTTCTCTCCGGCAAATAACTAAGATATCCATTTATCTGGACTCTCGATGGTGAAAACACTATTTGCTATATGGATCTGACTTGAAACTGACACAAGGACCCTAGATTAGATGTCTGTTGCAGCCTTGACTCAAAATTGCCGGCAAAGTCCCAAACTATGTCCAGGTGTGAGGGATAGGGCCCCTTTGAGGTTGCAGGAGGGCAGCTAGGGCATGACTTTTTAACCCCTGGGCATTGACTGGAATCTGGAAACTGGCCTTGAAAACAATGTAAAAGCACCCAAGGTTATGTGGACAACCATCTTATCAAGACAAAGATAGCTAAGTTAACTCTGAACTAATTTTTTCCTTGGCCTCTGAGATTTTAAGGTTAAATACAGACTCCTAGCAACTCTCAGCATAAGGAGTTAACAAAAACTCACTAGCAAGCATAAATCTGGACAATATCTTAAAAGCATACCTGTCGTGGAAGTTACTATCTCCTAGTTTCTGACGTAAATCACAGTGATTCTTTACATGCTCGTGGCTTTCATGAACCACTCTTTGGAACATCTGTTTCTGAAAAATAGAGATAATCAGTGTTTACCTATTGTTGCAACAATATATCTTTAGGCAAGATTGCAAAACCATCTTCTGTAATAGTTTAATGTAACTGTTTTCCTAAACCCAGGGCTTTATTTACTTAGTGAGTTTCCAAATCTTGAAAAACATGTTTGCTAAAACAGGAATGGCCAGGTACTTTGTGGAGAAAAAAGTGGGACAGCAAGATTGATATTCAGTTTCCTGTGATATAAACTCATTTGCGGACTTAAATGGCATATTTTACAAGCATAAGGCAAATCATTCATCAAGCCAGAAAGACATCCTTAAAGGTAGTTTATAGATCTAAGTTTGGTTGGTCAGAGTGTGTGTGTGTTGGTTATTTTTAATAAGATAGTCTTTTTACATAAACAGCACAGATATAGAGAGATAGATATATGTATAGAAACAGATACGTCTTAAGAAGTCATGGTTTGATAAAAACGCGTGTGAACCTTGAACATAGGAAGGCACTCCACACATACACATTGAAGTGAACCAAGTGGAATTTCTCGGAGCTAAATGCAAATTCAGAGTTCTTAAACTGTGCAAACAAATTCCAGTGGGAAGAGACAAGTGACCTTGCAGGCTTAGCTCTTTGATAGGAACACTGGTTATCATCTTAACTAATCAGACCCAGTCCACCGGATCCTAACAAGCACTGTTTGTTACAGTGAAAATTTTACCGGATTTGCAAACTGTTTGCCTGGATTTAACCTTTAGCCTTGCCCTTACTGCCTGTGTGATGTTGGGCAAATCACTTGAACCTTCTGAAATTCCAATATTCTCATGTATAAAATGTAGTTAGTACTTCTGGCTTTATCTATCTTACCAGGCTTTGTGAGGCTCAAATAGGACATCGGTTGTAAAGGTGCTTTGTAAACTGTAAACATCCATGCTCCTGTAAGGTGCTATTATCACAATGATTATAGTGGAAGTCTACTGGTGATGCTATGTAGGAAAGGGTGCTAACCTAAAGATGACGAAATCGCCTTCATTTATCCTTCTCTCTGGGGACAGAAAGATGCTAAGTGTATTTGCTTGTGCCCTGACAGGACAAGAGATGCCTTCACCTTCCACTTGCCCCCTCTGGAAATACATAAGCCATTGAATAGAATAACAAAGCCAGAACCACATGGCTCCCACAGATAACTGATCACCTGGCCAGATTTGTAAGGCCATCTGCTTTTTTCACGTATAATGCATCACAGGAGCTGTTGCCTGTGAACAATATGATTTCTGGTCTGAAACAGGGACAGGTTCCAGGCCTGCTTGGTGGAAATAATCAACCTCCCTCTGTCATAATAGGCTATGCTTTCATGCTACCTGCTACTGTGCCAAGCAAACATTCACTTTACAGAGGAAATTGCACAGAAAAGGTTTCACAAAGCACAGAATCTGTAAGACAGTGACTCACCCAGATGGTTGCTACAGGGTGATGATGTGGTCTTTGGTTTAGATGGGAATCATATTTCTGGTGTAACATAATCATCTTACAAAAGTACAACACTAGTAATGGCACTGGAATTTTTCTTATGTTCATAATCACTGTGAGTAAAGGATTAAAAATAAAAGGAATTTACCCCATGGCTATGGCATTCTAGAGGATTTTCTAATTTACAGCATTTTCCCAGTAAGTTTTGATATACTGTATCCACTCTTAAAATCACTGGAACTGCCAACTCTGGATGTCTTCTTGAATATTCATAAAGAAACCTGTATCCATGTGAAATGTATTAGAAAGTAAACAATAAAATTCAGAGCCCGTGAGTTTTCTTTCAAGAACCAATTACAGCTGTGAAATATATTCAATATTTTCAATCACCTGAAGGCATTTGGAAATGCTGGGAGCCTGGCAGGGAAGTTTTATTGACTATATTTTGAGATAAAGAAACCAAATCAATAAAATTATCTGATTTTTCCAAAGTCACACAGTAGTGAGTGGCAGAGCTGGAACTTGAACCTAAAATATCCTGATTAGCTGATAGTTCCTGGTTCAGGATCCCTACTTACTTTTACTAGAAATTAATTTCAAGTATTTAGGTGAAAATACATTTTTCTCAATGTTCCTTGAGGCTAGATTTTATAAGTATTACAACTTTTTTGAAAGGAAGTGCTGGCTAGGTTTTAAATCACCATCTTGCCCTCTTTTCCACGCAAGCCTTCAAGCATGAGTAGGCTATTCATAAGCTACACATTCTTCTGGGTTACAAGAAAGAAAAATGTGGGCTCTAGAATATTTTCAAAGGAATCATAGAATCACTGGAGGGACTTTTGAAATGATCTTATCCAATCACCTCAATTTACAGTTGGAACCCAAAAGCCTGGGGAAATTAAGTGGCTTGACCAACATTCTAAAGCTTATGCATGACCAAGCTAGACTAGAACTGAGGTCTCCAAAATCACAGTCTAATGTGATTTCCACTAGGAACTTGTGCCTATCCATTCTTTCAATACCAAATGCAAGTTTAGGAATAAGTAAGTTCAGGTAGTGACATTGACTTTTGTAAGCCAGTATCAAATACAATTTCAGAAATATAGCTACAATAACTCTACAAAGAATTTTGAAGAAAATTCAAATTCTTACGCTTTGTTGGAATTTAGTTCCTCCAAATAATGCTTCACAAAGTGACTTTGGAAATATTCAATCACAGAGCAATATCGTTTTAATATTATGTATTGAAATCAGTCTGCCTTATGCACAAATTAATACGTACTTCTGAATGGACACAAGAGATGTTAATACTCCATGTCTCTAATCTTTAAATGCCACACGATGGCTTTGGTAGTAGGTATTAAATTAATTAAAATAGAAGAGCTGACCAGGTATACCAATCTGAAACTCTTACTTAGAGGAAAGCTTGCAAACACTAGAGCTTCACTGTGTTTTTAAAAATTTCCATGTTAGTTATCAACATTTAAAAATCAAGAGACTTCCAGCTTCTCTCAAAATACAGTAGACAGAACCACCCAAAGCCTTCCTTTCCGTAAGGCAACAAGTGGCTGGAGCCAAATAGTAGCTGCCGACTTTGGACTCCACAAAGAATCTCTTCTTGGCCACAGTTCCCATTTGACCACTCACTTACATCACTGGCTTGCCTCTGTTGTCATTTGAGTTTGCAGCCTCTCCCAAAGAATCAATAAATACAATATCCCATCATCAAGATTTTACAAAAAGCTATATTACTCTTCTAGGAAGTCATCTTGCTTGTCAGTGAATTGTTTGCATACAAATTGGTCTTCTGTGAACCTGCTGAGTGGTAGGGGTGAAAGATCAGGTTTGCCATCATTTTCTGAGTTGATAATGCATTCTCCTCTGAATGGCATTGGCAGTTCACAGCATGACGTGATCTTGCTGGAGAGCAGAGCCTGTTTAGAGCAGGTATAGTTCACGAGCTGGCTCTATAAAATATAAAAGGGAGCAGTTATTTTTGATGACTTCATTCTGAACTTATTTATTTTTATTGTTATTAGTAGAAAACCAGAGAAAAACTTGACATCTTATATTGCTTTATCCTTGGCAAACTGAGAGAACAAAAAGGTCATTTACAGTGATTCATTCTTATAAGGAAAGCTTCTCTATTTGACCTTATCCAAGTATCACAAACTCTGTCAACATCTCTTAAAGAACTTAAGAGGAGACAGACTGTATTATTGCTTAGCCCGACAAAATACAAATGAAGAGTTTTATTGTCGTGCTATTTGTTGTATTGTTTTAGGATCCCAGTTTAGGAAACATTTTGTCTCTGTCATTTACTACACACATTAGTATTATATTAGAGCAATATCGCTGTTACACTTACATATATACTTATACGTACGTACACACAAATATTGTGTATGTGTTTGTATGAATAAGCTAGTCTCTAAACTTAAGGAACTCATAATTTAGTTGGAGAGTCAAATAATTCAATAACAATAATAACGCATTATAATAGAAGTTATAAGAGAAATGAGCATGTTATACTTTGGAAGACAAAAGAGAGATTGGCATTCCAGACTGGTTGGAGGTGAGAGTGAAGATCTTGAATTATTTGAACCTTAATTGACAAATGGAAGTTAGTCAGAAACAAATGAAGAGGAAGAGCATGTTAGAATTATTCATCTTTATATATAAAGCATCTTAGAGGTGAAAGGGCCTGACATATTTGGGAAATGATATATAAGATATTTGAACATTATTGGGAAAATTTAGTTGAGAAATGATAAGGCTTAAACCAAATGAGTGATTGTTAGACCTAAGAGCCACTGAGAAGTAGAATTAAGAAGATTTTAATGAATAATAAAGGCGGGGGGTGGGGTGTGGCCAAAGAATTTAGAATGATACAGAACACTGGCTTTATGGTAGCACAATTTACTGAAATTGATATTTAGGAGAAAAAACAGATTTGAGGAAGATGGCTAAAAAGGGAAGCCTAAGAGCTCACTGTTGGATTATAGAGCTAACGTGATTTAGAGATAAGATAAAGCATCTGTGAGGCATCTACATGGAGACTTCCTCTAAGCAGCTCAGAGTCTAGATGAAGGGTTCAGGAAAGAACGATGGGCTGAAGGTCTAGATCTGAGAGAGCTGAAGCTACATTACGGGGTCAGGTTGAGACTGAGAAGGGAGAGTGTCTTCATTAGTTAAGGAACTAGCATGTTCTCAGTGGCTTACGGGAATCAAGTTTGTTTCTTTCTTAATAAAGTCCCATTGAGAACGGAAGGTGTATTGCCTCTAGGCAGTAGTTCTGGGAACCAGACTGACAAAGACTCTATCATCTTCAACCTGTGGCTTCTAACATTGTCTTCAGTTTGGGGGTGTTTTGTCCAGGAGATTTTTATATGCCAGGCCTAGAAATGGTGTGAAACTCTTCTGACCAGAACCCAGTCAGGTGGCCCCACCCAGCTGTGAGACAGGTAGGAAATGTAGTTCATGGCCCAGCAACTAGTCTAGACTATCGAAGGGAGAGTAATCCTTGCCGGATGGCTAGCCCTCTCTGATTGAATGTGTAAAATAAGAAACAAAAAGGCCAAGAACAGATCTATTGGGAATACCAATTTTTAAAGGGTAGTAGAAGAGGGAAAGAAAATTGATAAAGGGAACTGTAAGAATACAGGTGTTCCAAATAGCCAAAAATTCTATCATTTGTCTTCTAGACAGCACCTTTGCTGGTCATCGCTGGAAAAATAAATTAGTGCAGCAGTTGACAGCGGTAGCTCTGTCAGACTTCCTGAGTTCTAATCCTGACTTTGCCACTTTCTAGCTGTGTGACCTTAGGCAAGCTACTTTACCCCATTGTGCCTCCACTTCCTAAACTATAAAGTGGAGATAAAATAATACTTACTTTCCAAGGTTGTGGGAATTAAGTGAGTTAACATTTACGAACAAAGAAAGGAGACTGGCACAGAGTAAATACTAAAAAAGTGCTTGTTAACTAAAAGTGAAATGCTTAGATTCAGTGCTTGACACAGAGAAAGCATTTTTTAAAAGTTAGTATTACAGCAATTATTATACAATCCTAGAATGTTGGTCCAACAGTGCAGTGAAGCCAAAGAAAGAAAGAGAACTTTACCACATAAAATTGAATTTTGTTGACTGAGTGATACAATAGACAAGCTATTTTAATTTACATGACTTAATATTAAAAATTAATATCTATTATAAGCATATTTGCTTTGTGAGTCGGTGTGATGCTGTGAAATATGGTAGGATATAATGAGCACTGATAAAACTTGAAAACTTTCTAAGACACACAACTCAAACGTATACAATCCGTACATTATTCCTGAAGGCACGAGGAGAAATAGTGCAATCAAGAGAGAATTAAATCAATAGAAAAAAATAAACAGTGGAGTACATTGTATAAAGTAAATGATAGTTCAATGAAATCATTATTGTTAACAAAGTTATTTAAAAAGAATGAGCATAAACTAAGAAGTCAACTAAAACAACTGAGATAAGTCAATTAAACAAACCTGAGAGAATTAAAATTAAAAGCAGAAATCCAGTAGAATTGAAAATAAGTCCAAGAACTTTGTCTTGGTGAAGACCAATAAATTCAATAGTCCCTTTGCAAAGCTAATTCATTAAAGGAGAAAACACAAAAATATGGGGAAAAGGAGGTGCAATTACATAATTGCTGTTTTTAACTATCAAATATTATCATGTAGAACTTTACGTTCCTTAATCAGAAAATGCTGATGAAGGAGACTTTTTAAAGGAAAATGTACATTTTAAAACCTGAGAAAAAATAAGAACAGTTAATTCTCCTTATTCACAATAGTTAAAAACACTAAATTCGTGAATACTGAATCATCAGCCCTAAGGAAAATACAAGATTGGGTTCCTGCAAGCCTCTGGCCACATTTTCATTAAGAGATCAAGACATAACCTTGTTTTATGTAAGCTTCTGTTTAAAGACACCTTATTTAACACATATGGTTAATTTATTCATATTGAACTCAGAGCCACCAGCAGCTAGTCACGCATGAATGAAGCGTATCTGACATACATATTTTCTCCGTAAGGCACATCCTGGCCTCCTCATGCTGAGGAACACCAGACAGCGCTTCAGCACTACACTTGGGGACATTTAAACAGCTAAATCCCCAATAAAAAGCAAAAAATGTGAAAAACGAGACACTAAATAGACCGCAAAAAGAACACATTCACAGCGTGAGAGCTAAAGCAAGGAAGCAGAGCGTCTCCTCGTTCCGTCTCAGCCAGGACTCTGCGCGTCACGCGACTCAAACTTTCGCCTTCTCTGATCACGGGCAGGTCTGCGAAAGACCACGGAAGTGCTGTGAGTATTGTTTTTGGGGTTACTGATGAATCTTGGCAAGTAGGTAAATTCACCAGTACAGAAATCAAGAATAATGAGGATCAACTGAAAACTGTTAAAATGAATTCATAACAAAAGAAATAGAAAAGCTGTCACAGCAGTTTCTATCTCCATCCTTGCTCCAGTTTCACAGAGAAGTTCTTTCAAACCTTCACAAAACAGTTAAGTCCTAGTACTATTTAGGTTATTTCAGAGGATTCAAAAGGAAAAAAATTCTAATTCCTTTTTTTAGAAGTTAGCATAACTGAATACCAAATCTGATAAAGTATGTGCAAAAAAGAAAGTTCTAGATCCATCTCACATCTAAACAAATGCAAAAAGTTTGACTATTTTATATAGATAGATAGATAGTCCAGAGATATAGTAAAATGAGATTGACTTGAGCAATGTAAAAATGGTTAAAAATTAAGAAATCTTTTAATACAATTCACCAATAAATAAGTCAAATGACAGAAATCAAATGATCATCCTAAGAAGACAAAAGAACAGTTACTAATGTTCAGAATCCATCCTAATTAAAAGAAAACAAAACCACCTCTAAAATCAAATGAAAAATCTCAACACATAAGCAGTGTCTTTGTCAAGCCAGTGACTAATAAACTTGTTCTTATTATAGTCTGGACCAAGACAGGAATGCCAGAACAATCTACAGTTATTTTATATTGTTTATGAATACTGGCCAAAACAATCAAATAACTGAAGGTTGTTATGGCATTTCTGTCATAGTGTAGACTATAATGGGAGCTGTTCCAGAGTTACCAGTTTAGCAAAGATATTGTTTATGTGTTCATGGATTTTAGAGATTTGGGTTTTTTTTTTCTTTTAATTAAGATGGATTTTGTCAGGCCCCAAAGTTCCCTTCACTTTTCCCCAAATTCACCTAACCTTCATGCAAATAGGACTCTGACAGCCTGTCTTGATGAGTCAGCACTCCTTCTAAGTATGCAGGATAGTACTCCTTCCAGCACCAGTTGTCTTGTCATACAAAAAGTAATTCAAAGGACAGCCTTATATTGTCTGTCTCCAGGATGGAACTGACAGCGGTAGCTGCCGCCTTTCTGAAATGTGACTGTAACCCCGGACAGCGACTGCCAAGGAAAAGCTGCGGTCCAACCCCAACTCTGTTCCGGTAGAGATGCGTGGACTTAGGATCCTAGGGGTCGACTAAGTGTTCTACTCAATGATTTTCTACTTTAATTGCTATTGTTACCCACATCCCTTTAATCTGTTGTGTGATGAGACTAAAATGGTTGGCCATGGGACCTCCTGCCCATAAGAATCATGGATCTCTCCAGGAAATCATAGTATTGGTTTTTCTTTGTTTCTGTTTTTTTTTTAAATCATGATGAAAATTATTCATTTCAAACCCACAGAATGAATAGGGACATGACTTTTAACTTGTGGTTTGGTAAAGCCTTATTAAGTTTTGAAGACACAATTTTTTCCTTCTCTAGGATTTTGAGACTTTACATTGGGAGGTGGGACGGGTGAGTTCTACGCGGTTCATGCCTCCATACCCCTTGCCCCTTAACACCATATCTTTGACCTTGATTGCTTCCTCTTTCTCCATGGCCTGGGGGTATAGGCTGCAATTCCAGGACTTGTTGGAGATTCAAAGATGGATGAAATACAATCCTAATTTGGAAGTAAATTAGAGATCAGCTCTACAAATTTAAGAGTAAAGTAAGGTAAGACAAGCTGAGTAAGAAAGGAGAGAAGGAAGAAAAACTTGTTGCATGACCTGTGAAGAGAGAGGAGGTGAAACACCATTGTACTGATAATATGGAGAAATGGTAATTACTTTCTTAGATTCATCATATGCCACTCCCACCTTTATTTAAGAATTACATGTATTTTAAAGGTTGAAATGAGTTTTAAGAAAAGAAGCTCTTACCCTGCCAAGCACACACGCTACTGCATTTCCTCCACAGCAGGTCTGATGCAGATTGTTAGTATCCACGGTGAGTTTGGCAATTTCAGAAAAATTGGCTTTCGGTTGTTTTTTAGTCAGCAGAACCAATTCCCTGAAAGGAAAAAGAAGTACATTTTAAACAGTATTTGAATTCAATCCTTTCTAAAATTAGTTCTAGTCCATTAACTAATCAGAAGAGAAGAAACACATTTGCAAATGTAGGGTAAAGAGAATATATTATAAATGCTTTGTATTTCTTCAGTGATAGTACCCAGAGTCACACAACGATCCAAGTAGCAAAACAAACATGATTCAATTCATAATCATGTAAAATATGGTCATTTTCATCATTTAAATTATCATTTAAAGAATTTGAGTTACTTAGATAAGTAACAACAAGTAAGGCTGCCAAGCCTTGAAAATTTATCTGACCTTACTTTCTCAGGTAAAACTCTGCATTGTAAAAACAGTCATTATAGGTGGCTTGGGTGTCCCTTGTCTCAATTGACAACTAAGCAACATCTCTGAAATTTCTCTGGAAATAGGGAGAGTGGGCCTGCCTTGCAAGGAGAACTGAGCTTCCAGGCAGCCCAATGTCATCCTAAATTGGGGGAGAAGGTGATAGAAGGAATCGCACATGTTCAGGAGTCAGCTGGGACGGAAACACAATCTGGACCGGGAGAGACGCCTGCTGAGTAACATCAAATTCTCCCCACCGCACACTGCTCCATCTCCACTGCAAAGAAACACCACTCACTTTTTCTGTTCTACATGACATTGGAGCCAAAAGCTTTCCTATCTTCCAAGAGGAAAGAAAACCTTTTGTCCTCCAGCCTTTACCTTGCAGAACAATTAAGTGCTTGCATCTGAACATACAGAATCTTTTGTGCACTGAGGAAGTGACTAAGAGATTTGAACAGATGGAAGAAATTGAGGCAGGAAATAATGGGTGGAGATGAGGATTGTGCAATTCTATGCTCAGCCCTCTGAGCCCTATTGAACAGGCAAGTCAAGTGTGAGTGGAGAAAAGAACTTTGTTTGTACTGAGAGACATTATCAAATGGGAGAGAAATGATTTTTCAAATGGGTTTAATCAAAGAGGCGGTCCAACAACATTAAAGTCCACAAATCTAAATAGGTAACTTACACTGCTTTTGCTACTTTGTGGTTGAATTTAGTCCGAATTTCACATAAATGGTGATGCCTCAAAGATATTTTTCTAATGTATTTCCTGATGGGTTCCAGCTGTAATTAGAAAAACAACTCATCAAAGAAATACGGTTGGAACCACAAAAGTTAATTTCAGAATTAGTAAAGAAGAGAGAAAAGTAAAAATTGTGTATCTCCTCAAAATTAGAAAGTTTTTGTTGTCTTACGTAAAAGAGGTCAAATGCAAAAGGATAAGTTGTTTTGTTTCGTTTTTTATAAAATAGCATTTCACTTGCCCAAGGATCACTTGTCCTAGAACCTCAAACATTTAGAATATAAATGAGAACAAGAAAGTGAGCAAACTAAAGTCGAGAGAGCCGCTAGAATAAATTTCAGTAAAGTCTTACAGCTGTATTTTGTTTTTATCCAAGTTACTAACCCTGCCATCTACGACGTGTCTCCTGCTGCTTATCTAAAATATATGCTTCAGTTTTGCAATATATTAATTAAGCCCCCTCAAAATATTGATGTTCTTTAACCCAGGATTTGTACTTTTGAAATGCTATGGCAAACAAAATGTTCTAAATAAGTGAAAATATAACCATGCGAAAAGAAGAATGTGCATGTTTTGTTACAAGAGGAAAATTTTGGAGACAAGATGTCTCAACAGCACAGTGATGGTTAAGTAAATAATGACACATTAATTGTGAAAAGATGTATGCTTGTAACAAGAAGTAGCTCTGTTTAAATCTCTCATCTAAATCTAAAAGGAAATATACCAAAATTGATATCTCTATGTGGTGGAAATATAAGTAAGATTTTAAAATTTTATAATAGCTCTATATTTTCACTTAAAACATTATATTGGCCATATATTATTTTTACTTTGGGTAACTGCACCTTTCAGAGCTATTTTTAAGAACAATTTAGAAAATGTATACAAAGGCAATATTCAAACCGCAAAACTAGCACAATAATGATAATTTTACTTAATAATTGTTATTAAATATAATTAATTATACTTATATAATTAACTACAAATATAATTATCATTTTTATCCTTATTTTGTTGTTTTATATTCATTTGAAATCAAATACAAACAAGCTTATCTATTTTTTCATGAGAGGGCCTCTGAAAACTTAACTCATAAAGTCATGTCTGATCACAGACACAATTTTTACACCGTTGGTTAGGTAATTTTCTCTGAGGAAGGAGCAAGAATTGGTAGGAGTAGACATCCTGGAAGCAGCAAGACTATAAACACCACAGAGTGAGGTGGAGGAGGAAAGAACTCTTAGCTAACTTGAGAACATCTGCTTTTGTATAACATTATAGGGGCGTGCTACACATTAAGGAAAAACTTCCACTGAAAAGGGTTAAGATCAAGAAAACTTTGTAACTTAAAACAGTAAGCTCAAATTACCTAAAAAACTTACCTCCAGGAAAAAGCTCATTTTTCAGAAATAACAGTTAATGAGACATAAGTCTGCGTAATCACTTGCTTTTTAGTTTTTAGCTTATATGAAACCAAAAGGGAAAAAGATATCTCTCCTGCTTAGGAGTTTAGAAGTGGCTTCTGAAAGAATTGGGGTTCACCAGGAGAAGAGTGGAGAGAGAGGTAAGAAATATATATAAACAGCTTTAATGAAATAGCGGCAATTATTGAGTACTTAGCATATGCCAGAAACTCTTTAGATACATTATTTAATTTCTTACACAAGGTAGCCGACGAACAGCTCAAAAGGAGAAATACGTAAAATTCTACTGGAGTTTAGAGGAAGGTGAGAGAAGTTCTCATGGAGAAGATCAAAAACACAGCAAGGAAAAAGTGGCACTGTATTTAGCCTTGAGGGATTCATCACAATGACTATCAAATGACTGCTCATCGAGCATGACCCTTGGAAAATCCATCTGGTGCCCCCTCTAATAAAGTAAAGATGGTTATTTTATGTTGATATTTAGAACCTTTAATAAGCATGCATAAAAAGTACTTTTATCATGAAACTAATTACTGATTTACACCTATCCAACAAAGGAGAAAAGTCCACATGGTTAACAGTAAGTGTGGCAGATTGTATTTTCCGAAGATGGCTACAATATCTTCCATCCCATGCTCTTTTTACAATGAGACTTTAACAATCCTCCCAAGAGGTGCAGTATATGCACTGTCCCCTTCAAACTGATGAGGCTCGATGGTGTTTCAACCAATAGAATATGACAGAGGTAACTTCTGAGATGAAGTTATAAAAGCTTATACAACTTCTGCTTTCTCCACTAGAATACTCATTCTTGAAGTCTTTGGCCACATGTAAGAGGTCCAAGTGCCCTGAGGCTGCGGGGCTGTGAGGAAGCCCTAAGTAGCCAAGGCAGAGAGACAACAGGGAGAGGCCCCGAGGTTATATGAGAAGAAAGAGATGTTGCACCAGCCCCCAGGCGCCTCAGCCCCCCTAGAGTCCCAGATCTAGCCATTGTCTGACTATAACCACATGAAAGCTCATGAGCCAGAACTGCCCGGAGGAGCTCTTCCTGAAATCCCGACTCACAGAAATCATGAGAGATAATAAAATGATTGTTATTGTTTTGAGTCACTAAATTTTGGGGTGTTTTTATGCAGCAATAGTAACTGGAATATTAAATATTTATTATAAAATACTATCTATACTAGATAGTACTTCTCAAATTTGGATGACTATATGAATCGCCCGGGTATCTTGTTAAAATGCAGTCTTCTGTAGTAGGTCTAGAGAAGAGTTTCAGGCTCTTCCTTTCTCACAGCATACGCCGGCGATGGATGTGCTGCTGGCCCACAGCCCACGCTTCGCACAGCAAAGCCCTAAACAACAGCTGATATAGGAATATTTTACCTTCATCTGCAAGCATTGAGTCTTATTTTCTTCTCGGCAACATGACTGAATAGCTGTTTCATAGCAAGCAGACGTGGTCAGAATAGTGGGTCCATACAAGAACGGATGCTTTCTAGATATTTCATAAATGTACCTGTAATCGGACAAATACAAAGTTGTATAATTTGGAATTTAAGAACATGTGCTGACACTGTTTCTTAAAAACTTAGGATTCATTTATTTTTTAGACCTGAAACTTCTAGAATTTCACGGTGATGGAGAAGAGGTAGCACTGAACTTAAATGCGTCAAACGTTCAGTGTGGACAGATCACTCAGACATTCCTTGAGTCCCATGAAGTGACCAGTTGTACCTTCTGGGCTAGTGGGGAAAGAAAGTCAGTCATTAAAACTTTTCACTTTTATATAAGGAGTGCAAGGTAGAAAGTTCAACAGTCTAAACTAAATTGTAAATGCAGGATGGTACAACTAGTGCAGGGGAATTAAATTTAGAAGCTATTTTTCGGTGGAAAGGAGTCTCTCAAGATCATCCAGAAGTTCTTTCTAGACTAAGCAAGTTAATGCCATCATCCTCTAAGGTGCGTTACTCAATATTTTGGGTTGTTACTAAATCCCTCATCTTTGTTGCCCTCTCTAATTCATTCCTCACGCTTGTTACAGAGCCTGGACATCAGGCCTACCTTCACTTATAATCATGTCTCCTCATAGTACTCTGCAAAAGCTCACTCAAAGTACCACACAAACATACATAAAAATACCAGCTTCCATTTCCTCTTCCTGCGTGCACAGGAAGACTACTCTTCCAGCCTCCCTTGCAGTTAGGTTAGGAACATGTTCTCACCAATGAAATAGGAATGAACATGCTATACACCACTTCCAGGTTTGGCTGTTAATCTCTTTGCACAGTTACCTATTCTCTCTTTTTCTGTTTTGCATGACCTTGGAAACACATACTCCAGATGGTATAGCTCCAAGATGGAAACATCTTGCATTCCCGAGTTACTCCTTGGAGGAGAACTGTCAGGAGCTAAGCAGAGCTGGAGAGACCGAAGCTGCCAAGGGTTGGAGTAGCCAAATAAGACAAAAAGCCAAAGAGAAAGTCCAGTCAAGACTTTAATCACTTACTGGGATAGTATAAGCAAGTGGCTACACTGGAGAAACTACCAACACTCCACTTCCATTCTCACCTATAGACCAGCACCAGTTGAGGATCAGGTGGACAGACACAGGAATGGCTCACTCTTGTGGGAGCCCCACATGAAAGGCTCCGGCAGTTTTGTGGACGCCGGGGCAAGGTGGAGGGAGAGGGGAAAGGACTGGGAGCGGGAACACCCTGAGTACTGAGTCAGAGTGCAGAAAATTCTCCTCTGGTTTCTCCCTCTGTCGCCCCATAAGGAAGTCTTAGCAGAGGCACCTGAGGAAGGTCTCCGCCTGGGGTCCCCTCTGAAGAGGCCTCCGAATGCAGGCACCTGGGCTGGGAATGCAGCTGTGTGTAGGAGCCTATCAAGCCAGGGGGCCTGAGTCATGGACTGTGACGCCTTAGGAGAATGCAGTACATTGGCTGTGCACCACTTGTGGTGTGTGAAGGGCAGCTTTCCCCTGTGAGACTTGTCATCTGTAATTGCTTATGGTCAGGCCTAACATAAAAAAAATAAAATCCCATAGGTTTTCAGCCCAGAACAGGACTCCTCAAAATTCACCCAAGAGAACCACCCAGTTTAGACTGTGATATGAACAACAAATAAATCTTTACTGAATTAGGTCACTGAAGCTTTAGGATTTACTTTTTACCACAGCCTAGCCTAGTCTACCCTGATTATTACAATATTGTCCCTCATGAAAGTTTAGGATGTAATGTATACAAAGTAGGCCTAGGTCACCAGAAAAATGGCCCTGGTTCTCAACATTAAAGGGATAATAGAGGAAGTGATAGATAAAGAACAGGGACTTGGTTCATGTTTTGATACCTTCCTCCCACCCCATTTCCTTGGATGATACATAAATCTTTACTCCTCCAACTTCCCTACCTCCCATTCTACTTGAGATGCCAACTGAGGGTACAATTGTAGCAGCCAATGAAGTCTAGTCAAAGGACAAGTTTGCCACTGCTGCCTTCCCTGTAATCATTGAAAAAAACAGTTCTGTCTCATGAAAAATGGCCAAGGAATACCCCAGTTCTACAGAATCTAGAAAACCCAATCACACCAAAGAAAGTGGCTAGAGTTTCTGGAGTCAGGAACTATATCCATATGTAACTTCGTCAGAAGAGTATTTCTTGCTGCTTTCTGAAGGTTAGAGCCAGATACAGAATAATGGTGCCATGATGCAAGAAGAGAGATTTTGCAGGAGACCTGAGGCACTAACTAAACGTCAGTAGAGACCTTATCTAACAACTGGTACGTGTAGCAATCCTGCGGTAACATTTCCTTTTGATTATAAGTAAGAAATCTTTTCTCATTGGTGAGTGATTGAGGTCATGGACATTTGAGTTGTTTACCAAATATTTCTGGCTCCTCTCCTTCCAGGCAAATGGTAGGATTACACATTCCCACCCCCTCCAAGGCGGCCATGACAATGTAACTTGCTTTGTTTACTGATACGTGAGTAGAAACAATGAGTGTTACTGCCAAATAGAAGCCTAAGGGGCAATGCATGATTTACCATCATCCCCTCCCCTCACCACAGTAATCAAGGAGGCGGGTATTGAGACCGGGTCTCTGTCAGCCTGGGTCCCTAAGTGACTACCATAAGCAGACCTCCTATATTGGACAAATAGCGTGAGGGAAAAATAAAACTTTTGTTGTATTAAGCTGCCAAAAATTGGAGGTAATTTGCTACCACAGTGAAATTTAGCCTATCCTGAGATTATTACTTTTGTTTTTTAAAAACCTATAAAAGGAAAAGTCATCTACAAGCCATGGAGTGGGGAAAGTAGGTCAAATACTAGAATTGAACCTCATTCATTCTCAACTGGACAAGACTTAGAAAATGTAAATCAACGCTTTGCAGAAAACCCTCCTCTTCACTCTCATCAAGGGGCCCCAAACCTGACCCTTGGAAGTTCAGTCAGTAGGTTTGTATCATCAGTTTCCCAAGCCCAACTGGTAGAAATAGAACAGCAGGACTGATTTTATCAACATACACCTACCTCCCAAGAGAAGGCAAAATTCTTGATCAATGTGAAATTTCACTGGAGCCGTTCAATACTTCTGCTCTCTATTGGGTACTCTGCTGAATTAAGAGTTCATTTTGTGCTACAGTAACTTAGTTCCCTTAGAGAGTATTCAACATGAGCCAACCTAATTTCAAATCTCCAAAGGCAAAGTTTAACTTAGTATAAAGAAAAGCTTCCTAATAATTAGAGCCATTTAAAAGATGGAATGTCCCTATTGTAAGGTAACAGGGGGTCACACTTGGTTGGAAGTTGGATACTAAAGTCTTACAATGATCAAAACTGTTATTGAAAATTCCTTAGAGAATCCAAAGGCACAGTGACTATGGTTTTGCATCTATATACTATGCCATCTTTTGATAAGTCCAAAATACCTGACTTTTCCTCGAGCTTTGATATTAAGAGTTACGCTTTCCTCAGAAGTGAATCAAGTTGTTGGCTTATAATTATAAGGCAAATAGTCAGAAAATTATTTTTCCTTTTAATATTTATAGTTGCATGCACATAAGTTAAAATTAGCATGTAAAATAAATCCTTAATACTGACTTCATTGTAAATGTTCAAGAAGAGATTAGATTCACTGCTTGACTATTGATTAGATTTTGTAATCTCTGAGTGTTCAACCCAAACCTGGCTCTAGAATTCTCACCTAGAGTGGATAGCACTACAGTAAATAGGTAGCCAAGCTCATATTTTGGTTCCCATACAGTTGCCACTAACGTCGGACAAGTTGGAGCCTGCCAAATTCCCTGTCCCTTAGTACTTTCTCCCTCAGTGGCTGGGCCGCTTAATTCCTTCTTGAAGGCTCAGTAATTACTGGGGCAATTCTGCCCCTGCGTGGGTGAATTAAAGGAGTTTATGTTATTCAGCATCAAGACACCCTGTCTGCTCATTCGTCTCTGGTCTAGAGTTTCGTGTCTAAAATCTGAACTCAAATGACCACCATGCTCCTTGCACTCCAGATCCAGCAGTTAGATCTTTGCCATATTCCTCCTGTCTGAGCCTGTTCTCAGTAAGATGGCAAGAACTGCATTCCTTGAGAACTGAAGACTTGGATTTCTCTTGTCATTTCTATCTCTCTAGGTATTAGTTTCCTGCCTCTAAACCCCAGCCATGTGCTCGCATCCCACTCTCAACAAATAGACTTCTATACTAACTAAGAAACGAAAACGTGAGCTTGCCTACCCATTTGCCATAGTGCTATCCACGCCAGGTGGGCACTATAGAATCAGAAATCTTGAGTAGAAAACTCATCTCTGTCTAACCTACAATTGCCACTTATTCCTAGGTTCACAATGACAGACTATCCCCATGCCATCAGACACCCCTCCAGCTATTCCTTGATGAACCTCCCTAATGACAGCCCCTTGCCAGAGCTATTAGTTACTCTCTGTCCCCAGTACTCTGTTTGGTACACTTTGCCTTCTTGACAGCACCTTTCAATCATTTGCCGCTGGTCTGACTAATCTAACCTCTAAGGAGATGAGACCTCTACAGGTCTTAGTCATTTTCAATGTTTCATAGCCCAGACATTTCCTGTTGGGTTCTCTAAGATCATAATTGTCATTCTGAGGGAAAAATTACATATTTTCGTTCAAATTTTCACTTTAATTCCATATACTAAAGCATTGTGTTTTTAGAGGCTCCCACATAAAAAAGATCTGTCTTCAAATTTGGAAAATATTCTTCTTCAGAGACAACGGCAAGGAGAAACGGCTTACCTCTCCTTCACTGGCATTCGATTCTCTTTGTCCATCTCACAGATCTGCTCAGGATTTGGAATTTGGAACATATCACTGTAACCTGCATCATCTTTTTTGTACAACAGGAAGCACTTTTGTCTTTCTGTGTTATTTACATTGCAACAATCAGAAAACATATGTTTGTCAGCCATTCCTTGGTTTTTACAAATATTCTCTAGGAAGGTAGTCATCTGTAGGAGGAAATAAGAACTCAGAGGGAAAGCATGTTGGCCTACATTCCTAGCCACAGGAAAGTTAAGGAATTTTTATTAAGAAAAGTCAACTGAGTGCATAATAACTTTGTATGTCCCTGGACATAGCTTTTTTGAGCAGAAACCTTTTTGGTTTTTAAGTCTACATTCCCACATGCTGCACATTGACCCAATGGAATTTATCATTCTCCTCTTTCCTATGCAATTGCTTCATTTCCATACAGTTGAGAGGTATTAAAATAAAACATAAACCAACATGTCCAGGGCCTAAAGAAATCAAGGTATTTTTAATGAGAACCATCCACCAAGAATTAGATGGTAATTTGTTTTCCTTGCTTCCAAATTGTTTTTGGTTTGGTTACCATGGGAACTTATTTTAATAATAGAACTCTGAGACAACGTGTATTCAGTGTCAAATAGTCAAACGGAAATGTAATAATCCAGTTTTCAAATACCTTTGAGTGGCAGTAAATGTGTGGGATGCTGTAAACTTCGAATGACACATGTTTCCAGATTTGGGGGATAAGGGCAGAAAAAGGTCATCTTTTGAAGTGGAAATATGAAGGAATCACTATAAATAAGTGAGAATAGCTATTGGCAAAAGTACTTCATTTAAAATGTGTTTCTAATTAGACTGATGATTTTTCTGTCTACTAAAAGTCTAGTAAAAGACAGGTAGGTTTTAGCCCCAAGAAGATGGAGTAAAAAAATCTATAAATAAAGAAGAAAACTACTCATTTGTATTTTCAGTTGTTTGGCATGAGAATAATTCATCCCAAAATATGTAAGTTGTAAGAATATGTTAGTGTTTATCAAGAATTTGCTAATCACGGAACAGACATACTTTATAAGAGACAACAGTAACTCCCAAGATTTTCCACTAACTGGGAAAAAGAGCCTATAATAATATTCACTCCTTTCTTCTTTTTCATATTCTCTTAGAAACCTTTTCAAATTAGTACTTTAATTTCCCAGGAAACTTTATATGAAGATGTCAGACAATAGTATTCTAGTGACAGAGGCAGAGCAGACAACTTAAATGAACAAATTGGCATTCTAGGTTATAATTCATTCTCTTGAGTGTTTGGTTCTGAAAGTCTGGTCTCCCAGGGATGAACTGATTAACTGTAGGTTTATAAACCTACAAAGATTATAGCTTGAGAGTGACTCATGTACATATTGCTACCTTAAAATCCTCTGCTTAATTATTCAACCATTTCCCCTCGTAACAACATCTTTTGGTTGTAATTTCCTTTCTTAAAAAATAGAGGAAGGGGCCAGCCCGCAGCTGAGTGATTAAAGTTCTGCACACTCTGCTTCAGTGACCCAGGTTTGTGAGTTCAGATCCCGGCAGGGACCTACTCCATTTGTCAGTCATGCTGTGGAGGCATCCCACATATAAAAACTGGAGGAAGATTGGTGCAGATATTAGCTCAGGGCTAATCTTCCTTACCAAAAAAAAAAAAAGAGAGAGAGAGAGAGAGAGGAAAAGGCAGAACATGATTCACCTACCAACTGGTGAAAGCATTCTGAAGATGACTCACGTGGCTGGAGGCTCTTGCACTTCTCTGTGAGATCTACCAGCTCCTTAACTACGGTTTGTACTTCTTCATAAGTTGATTTCTGAAGAAACTGAGCAACCATAATGCTAGTGCTGAAACATGACACTGTGTGAGTGTTAAAGACAGAAGCAAATCCTGTCATCTGTCACCCTTTTTATATCACTGTCCCACCCCCAAAAGAATTAATGCTTTCAAATTCCAGACAAAAGGATATTGATAATAAAACTAACATGTCTCTTAAGTTTTCCTCCAGATTATTCTGGCTTTTAATATTCTGCATGGCTGAAAAAAAAAATAACATTTCATTTGTATAAAAGGAAATTTTCCAAAATGAAATCCCCCTTTACAATTCTGAAATCTACATTTATTCACTCACAAATTTCCAGATCTATTTTTATTTACCATCATAAATTAGAACAAATTACCAGAATATATCTTCACTTGTATTTTAACTGTATTATGGATTGACCTATTTCTATTCAACCATATTGGATAGTCAAAATCTATCATTGGCCTACAAATAAGTTGCACATATTTGTGTTGACACTTCTGAATTAATTAAACTTGGTTATTTCACTCTTTACATTAGACGTTACTGACACACCCAAGGAATATTAAGAAAATTAAATTTTAGCATAGAGAACAAAAGTATAAACATTAACATTTTGCCAGGTTTAATTTGGCAAAGACAGTGTCTCTCACATCTTGGATTTGCTCATCATCTTCATCTTCTTCATCACCTCCACTCAATACATATTCTCCACTGAAAACAATGTCTTCTTTCCTATATTAATAGCTTCTAAAGAGCTTGGCAGCTCCGTATTAAGTAGAGAAACCATTATTGGGCCAGCCAATGGTGTAGTGGTTAAGTTCATGCACTCTGCTTTGGCAGCCCAGGGTTCGCAGGTTCAGATCCCGGGTGTGGACCTCACACCACTTGTCAAGCCACACTGTGGCGGCGTCCCACATAAAGTGGAGGCAGATTGGCACAGATGTCAGCTCAGGGCCAATCTTCCTCAAGCAAAAAGAGGAAGATTGGCAACAGATGTTAGCTCAGTGCCAATCTTCCTCACACAAAAAAGAAACAATTATTGTTCACTAAGGCTTAGGAAACAGCTATTCTGAGTTCAACTTCTAGCTCTGTACTCAATGAGGCTTTGGGAAAATAACAAGGTCTCTTCAGTTTCTGCTTTTCTGTCTATAAAATGCAAATAAGTTCCACTAGATTCGGTGGTTGTTAGGATTAAATGAAAGCACATGTATGAAGCACTGAGCACAATGCCTGGCACATAATAGGTACTAAATAATGTAGCTCATAATACTGTTCCTGCTACTATAAACTACTGTTCCTCTATCTAAAATCACTTATCCAATTTCAAATACAGGTTTGAAATGGATCAGTCTCTCACCTAGAGCAGAAGGAGATCTTGCTACCTGTGTTACTTCAATATGTTAGCTCTCTTTCTGTGTCCATTCCACAACTTAATTTCTAACAATTTTCAATGTATCTATTGACAGTGATGACCACTGAGAAAGATATGCCTTTCTGATACATGTTAGCGGTCATTATACCTTACCTCTTGGCACATAAGATGTATAGATTATAAATAGAATTCCCTACCTCCATCTAGTAAAATTCTCTGAAGAGTTTGACATTTAATGTAGCTGAAGAAAATAAGAAAAGATATGAGTCTAACAGTCTTCATTATCTCAGATGAACCTTTATTGAAGGTGTTCTATCATTTGAGAGAATTGAAGGATCCTCTTATATTATTTTCAAGTAATTACTATTAATAATTAACCTTTTTCTAGTGAATATTTTTTCCAGGCCACTATGACTCATAAAATTAAAGAAATTCATGACAATGAAAAGATATTGCTGATGGATAGCATTCATTAATGAATGTTGGATTTTAAAATGAGTCACATCAACCCTACTTGTTTTTTCAAGGTTATACCAAGTAGCCCTTGTAATAATCAATAAACACTTCTGGTAAATATCTAATTTCCTGGAAATGCATGTTGACCTGTACAAAGTCCTAAAGTGGCAAGGGAGAAGGTAAACATGTACTACCCCAGATTCAAATAAATGATTAGGGCCCCGCTTCCACTGCTGGGTTCATTTTCAAGCCCCTGGAGAAGGTGAGGAGCACAGGCCTTGGGAGCACACCCACAGGCACGGGTTGAATGTATTGAGTGCTTACTGTGGGTCTGGCACTTCATATGAATATATTTGGGTAGCAAAATTCTCATTTCTTGATTTAATGTCTTAAAAAATTAAGACGGGGTCATATAATTTCCTCATAGACCCACAGGTAGAAATTCAGGTCTGTATGACTTCAGAGCCCACACCACCCAAGAACTAGCATTAAAAGCTAGGGTCCCAACCTTCCTCAGCTATTGTCTGCTTTGTCTATCATCCTGTCCTGGGTCTAGGGAAGGGAAGAGGTAGTTACTGATTAAACGTAAAGTCTAAGGTACGTGTAAAGTCCAAAATTTGGGGAAATGGGAGATCACTGGATACTCCTTTAACCATTCCTGTCCTGTTTCCTCATTTATAAATGGAGGGTTATTTGGATTGGGGACACATTGGCTTATGATAAAGAATATAAATGCCCTGTGGGATAGAAGCCAGGATAAGCAAAGGGAAGATCATCTTTGGCAGGTTTTCATCATCCTTTTCAGTGTTTTCCAAACAGTCTGGAAGTTTCCAAGTCTTGGCTATGATAATAATGCCACAATTAACACAGGGTGCATATATCTTTATGCACTGGTGTTTTCATGTTCTTTGGATAAATACCCAGCAGTGGAATAGCTGGATCATATGGAAGATCTATTCTCAATTTTTGAGGAATCTCCATACTGTTTTCCATAGTGGCTGCACCAGTTTGCACTCCCACCAGCAGGATATGAGGGCTCCTTTTCCTCCATATCCTCTCCAACATGTTATTTCTTGTCTTGTCAACTATAGCCATTCTGACAGGCATGAGGTGATAGCTCATTTTAGTTTTGATTTGCATTTCCCTAATAATTAGTGATGTTGAACATCTTTTTGTGTGCCTGTTGGCTATCTGTATATCTTCTTTGGAAAACTGTCTTTTCAGATCTTTTGCCCATTTTTTAATTGAGTTGTGAGTTTTTTGGTTGTTGAGATGTTCAAATTCCTTACATATTTTGGATATTAACTCATCAGATATATGGATTTCAAATATCTTCTACCAATTCTTAGGTTGTCTTTTCATTTTCTTGATGGTTTCACTTGCTGTGCAGAAGTTTTTTACTTTGATGTAGTCCCATTTGTTTACTTTTTCTATTATTTCCCTTGCCTGGTCAGACATGGTATTTAAAAATATGCTGCTAAGATTGATGTCAAAGAAAGTACAACCTATGTTTTCTTTTAGAAATTTTATGATTTCAGGTCTTACATTCAAGTATTTCATCCATTTAGAGTTAATTTTTGTGTATGGTGTAAGATAATGGTCTACTTTCATTTTCTTGCATGTGGCTGTTCAGTTTCCCCAAGACCATTTATTGAAGAGACTTTCCTTTCTCCATTGTATGTTCTTGGCTCCCTTGTTGAAAATTATCTGTCCATAGATCTGTGGGTTTATTTCTGGGCTCTTGATTCTGTTCCATTGATCAATTTGTCTGTTTTTGTGATAGT